CATCAAGGCCTTGCTCAAACGATTTGCAGGTTAGATCCAGATATCAGAGTTTGTGCAAAGGGCTTCCAATGCATGTTCAAATGACTTGCAGTTGAAATCAAGAGTGCTTCCAGGTGATTGACATCCAAGCCAACTTCTGAGGGCTTCAAGACTAAATATTTTCAAAGTATGGACATTAGCGGTTAAGTACGGAGGAATTCCAGGGGCGTCGCGTAGCCTCACTTTTTACAACAAATTTGAAAACGTTATTTAGGCACAGGGGGTTCTAGTTCCACTGATTTGTATCCACTGGAACCAATATTGATTTGCTTGTTTACGTTTTGAGAGTTGTTGAACAGGTAGATTGAGGTTAGGGCGACGCCATTGAGGCCTTCTAAGACCTGTTCAAGCTGTGGATTAGGATAAATCCAGAAAAGGCTTTCAGGGTTTGTTCGAATGCACGTTCAGACGAATTACAGTTGAAATAAAGAGGACATCCAGCTGGTTGATTTCCAGGTCAATCTCAGAGAGATTTCAGGCTCAACAAGTACAAATGACTTCTAAGGCATGTTCATTCTGCGACTCAGGATAATTCCATTGCTTCCAGGCTAAATATTTTCAAAGTATGGCCTCCTGACATGCTCATACGACTTTCGGTCAGTAAATGCAAACGATTTCCAAACTGTATTGCTCAGGATTAATCCAGAAGAGGCTATCAAGGTTTGTTCAAAGGGCTTCGAATGCACCCCAAGTAACATTGCAAGCTTCATAGAGGTTTTATAGCATTCTACAAGTCCAAATCATGGTCTACATAACCTTCATAAAACCAAAATTGTTACTTGGGATGTTCAAATGACTTACAGTTGAAATCAAGAACGCTTCCAGGTAATTGACATTCGAGCCAACTTCTGAGTGCTTCCAGACGAAATATTTTCAAAGTATGGACTCCAGCGGTTAAGAACTAATGACTTCTAAGACAATGCTCAAACTGCGGCTCAGAATAAATCCAGAAGCCTTTTCAAGGTTTGTTCGAATGCATGTTCAGATGAATTAAAGTTAAAATCCAGGTCAATTTCAAGGAGGTTTCAGGCTTAACAAGTACAAATGACTTCTAAGAAATGTTCATTCTGCGGCTCATGATAAATCCATAAATGTGTAGTCTACATCCTAAAACGACTTACAGTTGAAATCAAGTGCACTTCCAAGTGATTGTCATCCTGGTAAATTTCTAAGGGCTTCCAGGCTAAATGTGTTCAAAGTATGGACTCCGGTGGTGGTAAGGACTTCTAAGACATGTTCAAACTGCGCCAGAAAAGACTTCCGGGGTTTCATAAAAGGACTTCTAAGACATGCCTATATGACTTTCGGGTCAGTAAATCCAAAAGCATTCTAAACTGTTATCAGAATGAATCCAGAAGAGGCTTTCAGGACTTCGAATGCATGTTCAGTTGACTTACAGTTGAAATCAAGCTCCAGGCTCTAAGATTGCGCTAAAACATCCAGGTGTTTGATAGCCATCCCGGTTTGTTTCAAAGACTAGATTTCTTGTTTTATTTCAGATGCAAGACACTTTCCAGGTAAATGGCTGTGTTCCGAAGACTTCCTTGATTCATAATGACTTGATTTTCAGTTCAGAAGATTTACAGGACAATTGCACAGAGCATACAGCATTGCTAAGTAGATGCAGATGATTTAAATGTCAAATACAGAATTGCCCGGTAAATGGCTTTCATAGCATCTTCAGAAGAGTTTTAGACCTTGGTCAGTTGACTCTAAGTTCAGATGGTTTACAGAGCACTTTAAAGAGCTTTCTGCACAAATCCAGGTGACTACAAGAACATATTCAGCAGACATCTACTAAGGCTTCCTGAGCTAATACAGATGATTTCCAAGTAAAATTTACCTCTAGAATTGCAAGGTAAATTACTTTCACCGTGTATTCAGAAGGCTTCCTCAGCTTGTTCAGTTGACTTCAAGTTTATCACATTTACAAGGGGCAATCGCAGAGAGCTGGTTGGACAGATCCAAATGATTTCAAAGGCATGTTTGGCAGACTACCAGCTGGTCCAATCCAATTATCGAATTTGGTAAGTGGCTTTCATATAGCGAATTCGTTTATTATTCAGTTCCAACCTGGATCGGGTATCAAGATTGGGTCTGCTTGTTTTCTAGCAAACGTCAGTTTGATCGTTTGTTTTTAAAACCTGGCACGAGTCGAGGTTCGCACTGACAAAAAGTTCGGGTTCGCACGGGTTGGAACTGGTTCCAACCCCGATAATAAACGAATTCGCTGATAGTGAGTTAGAAGAGTTCCCTGCCTTGCTCAGCTGACTTCAAGTTTAAAACAGAGAGCTCTCTGATCAGATCATTTCAAGAGTGTGTTCCGCAGGCTTTCTGAGTAGATACAGATGTTTTCCAAGTCAAATCCCATTCAAGAATAGCAAGGTAAATGATTTTCATTGTGTGTTCAGAAGACCAGTGTTGGCAAAATAAGAAATCAATTGATATTTTTCCGCTCTCATGGGCTCGCAATATCACGCGTGATTTTGGAACAAAATATCATGCTTGATATTGATTTTACAAGCTCCTTTGATATTGCGAGACTATTCAGAACGTGCAAACATCAAGCTGAGAGAAAGCATAGTTTGCTATCTCTTTTTAATCTTCACCGATGGCAGACGCAAAGGGACTGCTGCAAGCACATCTATGACACAAACGTCATTCCCATATACTTTGCGTGAAGCCGAAAAATCCGATTTTTCGGCTTCACGCAAAGTATATGGGAATGACGTTTGTGTCATAGATGTGGCTGCAAGCCGTTATGGAAGTTTCGGTTGCATTCGGGTGTAAAGCAAAAATCATTAAACTCAATCTCAACACAGTTTGGTGAGATTTGCAGTTGGTGAGTTTTGTTAGCTTGATATTCCGAGCTGCGATATCACAGCTAGCAAAATCAACCGCAGTTGTTTGCTTGTTGATTTTTGTCTACAAAAATCAAGCGTCATCTTGGCAGTTGGTGAGATTTGATTTTTTAATATTTTCCCAACACTGCTGAAGACTTCGTGAGCTTATTCAGTTGAACTCAAGTGCGTAAGGTTTACAACGCATTCGCAGAGAGCTTGCTGGACAGATCCTAATGACTTCAAGGGCATGGTCGGCAGACTTCCAGGGTGGATACAGATGGTTTCCAGGTCAAATCCAATTATCGAATTTGGTAAATGACCTTCATAGTGAAAACTTCCAGACCTTGTTCAGTTAACTTCAAGTTCAGGAGACTTACAGGGCGAATGTTGAGAGCTTGTTGGACAGATTCAGGTGACGTCAAGGACATGTTCAGCAGACTTTTATCGAAGAAAATGTATGACTTCCGAGTTAAAAACAATTCTATAAAATACAGGTATATGGCTTTCCCGCTCTTGGCCAGGTTACTTCAAGTTTAGACGATTTAAAGAATAATAGCAGATCAACTTAAGGTCATGTAGCAGACTGCCAAGACTGCAGAAGAAAATGCAGATGATTCCGAAGTCAAATTCAAATCCAGAATACCCAGATCGGTCTAATCCATCTAATACGTCTGGGTCATGCTCAGGAAACTTTCTACGCCCTCATAGTGTGTTCTGACGACTTCCCGACCTTGGTCAGTTGACTTAAAGTTCATAATATTTCCAGAACAACTGCAGGGAGTTTGATGACTTAAAAAAAACTTCATGAGTTGCTATAGATGAATGGATTTTTATGATAAACTTATACGAATCAGAGCATTTGCAGACCGGAGAGTTCAGTATTAGTAGAAGACATATCTAGATAAACATTTCAAAAGGTCCTATCTGCATTGATCGATTCTCTTAATCGACTTTCTCTTTCGTTAAAAACTCAGCTGCAAAACCTGTGATTTCAAATTCTTGCTAAATTAAGCCGAATACTTAGCGGCACCCAAGGGGTACTCAACTCTGCACATCTCAATCTGTGCCTAGTACTTTATCTGTGCCCAGTGTTGCGCCAAACGTGCCGCATTGTGGCAATCAAGCTGTCGGTCTCAGTACCCAACCAGTAACCCAACATCCCTGTGATTCCTCGTGGAAGTGCAGAGGACTCCTCGGCTTCCATCAAAGCCACGTCAACACATTCCTACCCATTCCTTTTTTGACCTGCGTTCAGGCGCGGCTGGCGCTGGTATTGCCTAATTCGAGATCACCAGTTTTTACACATTGAGGATGATTGCTAGTCCCAAGCATCGTCTATTGGTTCTCTGTGTAATTACAGCTGGTCTGGCAATAACAGAGTAGCAACCGTGGGCGGTCAATCATGCTCATGCTCATGCTGACAAGTTTGTTCAATTCAGTGCCAACATTTCAAAGGGACGTAATTGTATTTGTAAACAATGGCTTTAGCCGTCGATTCCTCGCGAATAAAAGCTCACTCATGAAAAATAATGACACCAGCAGGTAGAGGCATGTTTCCTCTAGCAACTAGCATTGTAATTTTGGGAAGGTAAGATTGACGGCTAGTCATTGTTTACAAAAGTAATTACGCCCCTTTGAAATGTTGGCACTGAATTATCTGTGTGTGTATACAATCCATCTCCCATGGGGACTGTGCACAGACCAACAGGACCTGTACGCGCAATTATCTTTCTTGAAATTATCTCACAGACAAACAGACATAACACATTGAAGGTTACACTCTAATTATCTCTAATAATCGTAATCTTGTTTAGCGTAACCTTATTCGTTGAGTTCGTCATCACTCGAGTCTAGATTCTCCACAAACATCTCAAAACAAATTTACGAATCTTGTTTTTTAGACAATTTTGGCAGCAAAGAATTGTTATCATTCATTTGTTTTCACTACGATACGAAGTTAGAATCTTGGTATCAAAGCGAGTGGCAAAACATAATGGCAACGCCTTACGTAATCCTATTTTGGGATTTTTTCTTTCCAAACTTAACGGTGACTGATTATATTTATTCGAATAAGCTTTAATCGTTGTGGAACATAAAATGCAATTCTAATCAGCAAAAGCAATCGAATACTGCGTGTCTGCGTGAATAAATGGAAAATACCTTTCTTTAAATAAGACAATAAATACACCCGACTACGAATCGACGTTTCGGCGATACTTCTAAAGAAGGCACTGCAATCCAAAGCCAACTTTGATCCGTTCGCAACGGACTTCAGGACGATTGTTTTCATCGCTTTGCGAATGGAATAGTTGATGTAAAATTAAGTACGGACGAATAAAAATCGTGGAATGTGCGTTAACCGTGCGTTGTTCAACAAACAACCTAGTAATAGTCTGGAACAGGGGCGCAAGCTACCCGTACGAAATCTGCATAACGGACTTGCCCGTTGCTAGAAACGTTCGCTTCCCGGAAGATGTTATCCACCTGAAAAAAAATAAGTCAATCAACAACGCAAAACAAGGGAGATAAGATAACGGGGCGACTCGAATACCTCTCGGAATGACAACCCTTCGCCCCAGTTCTGCAGCAGATGGCGCAGCTGCCGAGCCGGAATCGTACCGCGGCCGTTTTTATCACCCGCCTTGAATGCCTCAATGACCTCTTCCGGAAGATTTTCCACCCGGGAGTGCTGGTGGATTACCTCGAGAAAGTCGGCGAAACTCATGCGGCCATTTTTCTTTTTCAAATACGAAGTCAGCTCCTGGATCGTCGGAGACAGACCGAGCGAGCGCATAATCACGGTCAGCTCGTCCAGGGTGGTAATGTGGCCACTGCGGGCGAACAGATAGAAACACTCACGGAACTCTGGAAATTCGAATAGAAGATATAAATTTATGCATTCCAATTGCGTTAGAAAGTGGACACGTACCATCGATGTCTTGTTCCTTGAAGTAACGGGCCTGTCATGGGGAATAATTCGTTAACATCCTATCTCATTTGAAATTTGGCAAAAGCGAATAAATACGTACCATTTTGCAATAACTGAATGAACCTGAAAGAAACTCAACAACTAAAAATTACCCACAAATTCGCGATGCGAAACACTTGTTGCTTCACTGCACCCGAGCGACGACGACGACGACGACGTTGATCCCCTTTGTATTGAAATTTTCAACACCCACCAACCAACCCACCTCACACAGTAAACATAAAGGCACACACGTCCACTGAACTGAAATTCGATCGACTTTCTTTCACACCACAGGCAGATCAGTACTGTGCACATACACCCAAAACGAGCGAGTCACGCACAACCTTCAACCACGCAGCGTTGCATTTTGATCGACATTCGACCGCAAAGAACGACCAAAACAAAGTGAAACGTCAAAATCTGTCGTCGTCGATCGCGTATGTGTATTTTGGTTGGCCTCGCGCACTGAGCAAAGCAAAATTTGTTGGGCTAATTCTTGTCTCTTCATTAATTTCGTGTGGTGATTCGAGTGCAGTGCGTTCTCCTGCCCCGAGAGGAAAGAAAAGGAAACAATTTCTAGTAAGCATAAATCGGTGCATTCCAGACTGACGTTGGAACCACCCCCTGAGCTCCGACTTTTGGAAAGTTGAAAAGTGAAAGAGGGCCACCAAAAGAGAAGAAGAAAAAGATTGTGCAACTCGGTCTTAGAACCCTCAACTTTCGTGGAGCAGGAGAAGGAGGAATCATCAAGAAGAGTAGCAGCAGCAGCAGCACCAACAGAAGAAGATGGAATGCGATGCTCCGAATGCTGCGAACTACTATTGCTGCAGCAGCTGCCCCGTGCGGGAAGAAGAGAAGCAGTGAAAACAAAAGAACATACATATTCGGGGAGGGCAAAACACAAGAAGAAAACCGAAAAGTACGCCAGGAGAAGAAGAATTGGGGGAGCATCATCGTCGTCCGTCAGAGCATCAGTGAGTAGCGAGAGCAGGCAGCAGCAGCAGCATCTCGCCGAAAAATAATAAACGATCGAGGGCCACGGCCAAGGAAGAAGAACCTCCCATAGCTACTTCACACACAATCGAGAAAATAAGAGTACACTCGCTCGAACGTTTCGTTTTTGTTGTTGTATTATTTTGAGTTCGAGTAAAGGGGCCCAAAGAAGCATCATTTCGATCATCACGACCAAGAAGACGACGACGGGCAGGCACACACAGTGCTAGTTAATCATACTTTAGTTTGGTTGTTGTTGTTGTTGTTATTGCGGTTTGGTACGACAACAGCGACGAGCTTGAGCTCGTACACTTTTTTTTTTGTAACAACTTCGACCTCTGTGAGCTTTCTCGTTTCGTCGAAGATTGTGCAAAATGCTTTCCCGCAAGAGCAAGGATAAATCCATCAAGGACGGAGTGGTTGGAAAGTACGTCAAACGCGACACGCCACCGGAAATACCAAGTGAGTATTCAATAGTTCGCTAACCGATATATGAACTTTTTCGTTGAAAAGTGAGCAGTCAAGATACCAAAATTTCAATACAAAGGTCTAATCCAAAACCACAAAATAGGGCGCTTGGTCAAGCAAACGATTTTGAACAAAGCAGATTGAGATACATGCATTATAGATGTGGAAATTTTGATGATCGAATGACTCACAGATCAAGGCAAAACTCAATAGTGTCATTGCAAAATGTACCATGGAAAGCCCAAATTGATTAAAGGTCCTAGAAACCATGAGAACTACCGTTGAAAATTGCAGCTGAGTGAAAGCAAATACCAACTGTTGGTAGAGTGTAGTGAAGAAAACGGATGATTTCGAGTAATCGTTTGGATCTACATTTTGAGTTCCAAGATTAGGTCTCCGAGTAGCAGTATTCCGACTTATGGAAACCCTAAGAAACAATACAAATGTTGAGTTTTGATGTTAACTTCAAGTCCGAATCATGCTGTGCCAGACTTGTAAATTTGGTATTATCCATCAACTTGATCTTGATTAATTTTTGGTTTGCTTCGTTTTAGAACATAAGGTGTACTATGTGGTATGTCGAACTCGCTGTTGAATTTAGGTCATCAGTTCTATATTTTTCCGGCCGTCCAACGAAAATGTTTGTCTTGCTTCGTTGCAAGTCAGTAAAATCTAGTAAATTCGTCTTCTTGGAAGGATAATGGAACATTATCTGCTGGGGATTGGAAGGATTGTTAGTTGAACATTTACTTAATAGACATGCAGAGAACTCTACGACCTCACATAAGTGTCACAGGAGTTTGAAGGTTTGTTAGTGGACAGAGTAAAAAGCTATTGGATACGTTCGGTAAACGTTGCTGGCAGATTTGGGGATACAATAAGGCATAGTGAAATATTGCAAGGAAGGGAACGGGCCTGGGATTGAACTCCCGAAATTCTGGTCAGTAAGTAGAAACGGTAACCACTAAACTACTGAGCCCGTCAAAATTATGTTCAGCAATCATGATAGTGTACACATATTACGTACCTTTCAGTCCTAAATCCTAAATTGTGACAAATCTTCCTCCCGAACTTTTGTTTTTAAATCCATAATACAAATTGCTCATAAACTTTCAATAATATTCAACAACCCACTCAGAACCCAACTTAGTCCATCGTCCACTCAGAGATACACCTACTCATTCAGATATTCAGACCGAACTCAGTGCACCAACCAACCCACCCAGATATTTGGAATTAGTCAGACCCAACTAGGTCCACTTTCCATTTAGAGACACACCAACACTCTCCTAGGTTGAATTTTTCCGATCCCAACTTGCTTCAGTGTCCACTCAAAGGCCCACCAACCCACTCAGAAGTTGGAATTACTGAGACCCAACTAGGTCCACCGTCCGCTTAGACAAACCAATCCACTCAAAGGTTGGATTAACCCAGATAAAACTTGGTACACCGTCCACTCAGAGACGGACTGAAATCAAAGTAGTCGTTGGATTACCTGACCCGGTCACTCCTGTTATTTTTCACTGTCATTCCAATTCAAGAGCTCGATGTGAGCAATTCAAGTTTGCTTTAATAAAACATTCTTTTGTTCGTTAAGTCTCGGCCTGTTCATTATTGCCCCGTCCTGTCCACGTACTTCCTTCAGGAAAGACGTTGTTTTCATCGTGCTGTATGTCGATGATCTCCTGATAGCAGGTATGCAGCTGACCACCATAATGAAGCTGAAACGCCAACTGTCGCCGATGTTTGAAATGACCGATTGTGGAGAGTTGACTCACTTTCTTGGGATGAAAATACGGTACGATCGACAAAATGGTAGAATGATGCTGTCTCAAGAAACCAGCCTGGAAAAGATCTTGCAGAAGTTCGGCATGGCGGAGTGCAATGCAACAAGGACGCCAATGGAGAAGGGAATGAAATTGAATCGTCAAGTGGCCGAAGGTGTTCTAGAACCGTACCGTGAATTATTGTGAAGCCTGATGTACGTGATGATGTCCACAAGGCCGGACATTTGCTTTCCTATCGGATATCTGGGGAGATTCCAACTTCAACCTGGACAACAACATTGGACAGCTCTGAAACGGGTTGTACGACACTTAAAAGGATCGATGGAGTGTTGCTTGATGTTGACGACCGGAAATCAGTAAGCGGATTTGTTTCCGTGTTTTCGGATGTACTGTTGCGTGGTCAAGCAAGAAGCAAACAACAGTTGCAACTTCTTCAAGCGAAGCTGAATATGTAGCGTTGAGTGCTGCAGCATCGGAAGCAATATGGCTAGTCGGTGTTCTAGGCGATCTCGGTGAGTTGAACATTGAACCAATTACCATATACGAGGACAACCGTGGATGCATTGGTATGACCAAGAACTTCGAGAGTAAGAGATCCATACACATCGACATTAAACACCATTTTCTTCGTGATCATGTCGCTGCTGGTAAGCTATTGGTGGAGCCGATTGCCAGCAACAACCAGTTGGCTGACTTCTTCACTAAATCGTTGGACGTCGGACGATTTGAGGAACTTCGGACGATGCTGGGAGTATCCAAGCGAGAGGGGGTTAAATCAAAGTAGTCGTTGGATTACCTGACCTGGTAACTCCTGTTATTTTTCGCTGTCATTCCAATTCAAGAGCTCGATGTGAGCAATTCAAGTTTCCTTTAATAAAACATTCTTTTGTTCGTTAAGTCTCGGCATGTTAATTATTGCCCGCCCTGTCCACGTACTTCCTTCACGGACCAACTGTGTCCACAGCGACGCACAGCTAAAACTTGGTGCTATGTCCACTCATAGTTTGGATTTTCTCGAATCCATCTACTTAGATTCAGCGTCTACCCAGAGACGGCAGGTACAATCATACTCTATGTCTCAAGAAGTAGAGAAATTTTCCACCCGAAAAATTCCTAGACCGGACAGGGAATCGAACCCAGCCATATCCAACATGGTCTTGCCTTGTAGCTGCGCCTTTACTGACTGAGCTAAGGGAGGCCCCCAGAGGTTGGATTTACTTAGACCCAACTCTGAAGAACTGAAGAACGGTTCGGTGTTCTTGCTGTGAGCTTCAGATACTTCGTAGATTTCCTTCAAGTATCGGTCGGCACCAACCAGGTTTGTTCCGTTGTCCGACCAGATTAGTAGTACCCTCGGCGAGCAATCATTCGCTTGAATGCTGCCATGAAAGTATCCGTAGACAGGTCACCTGCGACTTCCAAGTGAACTGCCTTGCACGAGAGGCATACAAAGACCACGATATATCCCTTCGAGCAACGTACCGGGCCGGCATAATCTCGAGTCCAACATGGTTAAACGGTCGACATGCTGTTACGCGCGCCGCTAGTAGACTTCCCATCAATTGCTGCGACATCTTCGCTTTGTGTCGGCAGCACTTGACGCAATTCCGGATCACTTGCTTGATGACATGTTGGCAGCCTTGGATCCAGTAGGTCTGATTGATTGTGGCTGTCAAGAGTGTGGAACCCGCGTGACGGTTCCGTAGGTGCATCTCTTCCACCAGCAATCTCGTAAGACGATCACGAATAGGACCAGAACGTTTCTCGTAGTGTGTTAATGCCTTCGATCCCAGGTTGTAGATAAACTGCTTCACGCACGTCAACTGTCGGCAGGCTGCGCCGAAGCTTCTCGATTTCGTACGTCGTTGCTGGAACGCTAACAGTAATGTTTAGGAATTGGAATCGCTTCCGTACCTCCAGTGTAGTTTTATCGTGTTCTTCGGACAAGACACTTCGTTTCCAGGTTGCCGGATCCTCCGCCATCCACTTCGGTCCTTTCCACCACAGAGGACGATCGACTAGTTCTGTAGGAGATATCCGCCAATCCGACGGATTTTCAGTCGATGCAACATGATCCCAATGCTTACGTGGAAGAATCTCAAGTATCGAAGATATTCTATTAGTCACGTAAGTGTTCCATTTAAGCGGATGTCCTGACAGCCACTGCAGGACTATGGTCGAATCCGTCCAGGCGAACCGGTCTACCGGCCTCCTCAGAAGCGTCAGCAAAGCCATGTTGTTCGATGTGGTTGTTGTAATTCGCTGCCCATCTTGGAATCCTGATCTTCTCCAGGTGGGGCCGGTTTTCCTTTCAAATCGACCCACATTTCTTCAACGACAGGAGGTAGCGGATCGTGCCAGTTTAGGTAGTACAACCAGCAATGTTGAAATAGAATTTTAGCTCGAACGATGACCGGCGCAAACCACCCGAATGGATCGAACAGTCTGGCGGAATCCGACAATAGCTGGTGCTTTGTATCTGCAGATTTACCTTGAGTGTGAAGACGTCTATTTCAGGAATCCAATGAATTCCCAGGGCTTTCACCGAATTGCGTTCATCCGGAAACTGTATCTGTACTGCGGTAATGCTGACCTCAGGTAGCGACTTCAGAACCGCCGCCGAATTGGAACTCCATTTCCGTAATGTAAATCCAGCACTCTCCATGACCTCGTTGATCTCCTTGATCAAACGATTTTGCTCCCGATGTAAAATCGTCGACGTATGTATTCTTCATGATCCGTTCAGGTGCTTCAGGATACTTCCCTTTGTATTCTTCCGCTGCCATCTTGTCAGAGTTCTTGAGTCCATATGTCACCGTGCGAAGCCAGAAGTGTTGTATCGGCTTGTCCGGTGAGCTTCTCCATCTAGTATCACGTAGAACAAAACGTCCAATGTAACACTCATTGAGTCTGTCATTGAGAAAAATCGTCCAACGTAACATGTCCGTAGTACAGCTCGACTAGTCAAAACTGAGTCATTCTCCCATCTGCTCGATAGCGTTCAGGTTCAATTCCTTTCGTAGAACCTGTTGACCTTCTTGGCATTACACGCAGAGCAGAAGGGAAGTGCAAACAAATTGGTGAATCAAAAAGTGGTACGTTTTTCTGCTCAAAGATGTCTTCTGTACTGATAACAAAAAGCGCGTGCTTAGCTGGCAAATTACCCTACATATATCCATATTTGTACGAACTAAAACCAAACATCCTTTTCCTCACTTCCAGTAATCAACGTCCTGACGGGTGAATCCCAGGGCAAGAACAAGCTCACCAAAGGCCGCCGGAGCTCGCAGCAGATCTTCGGTGTGAACAATGTCGGCCCGAACAACAACAACATCTACGTACCGGGCCCGCTGATGCCGAACAACAATAACAACAACGTCAACAGTGTGCAGCAAAAGTTCGGCAACATCAAGGTGACCGCCTCGATGGGTGGCCTCGGCCACGAGGGCAAATACACCCCCAGCAACAAGATCCCGAACCTGGCTCAGAAGTTTGTGAACCTATCGCTGCAGAGCGAACAACCCAACATCCTAAATCCAACCATCAGCGTCCTGATGATGGCCAACAACAAGAATCAACTGCACCAACAACAACAGCAGCAGGCAATGGCCATGCCGATGAAGCCATCCAATCTGAACCTGGCGGCTGCTAACGAGCGCCAGAACAGCAACAGCCATGGCAACTACGTGGACATCGAAACGATAGACCAGATCCTGATGCAGCAAAGCGAAGCGGACAAGGCAGCGCACCAGTATCGCATCCAGCAGCAGCTTCAGCAAGCCCAACAGCAGCAACACCTGCGCCAGCAGTACATTTCCAACTTCGAACGGAAGTACCCCTATAACCAACTGCATCACAGCTCCAACAATAACAACCTCCGCAACGGATTCGAAAACTACGGTAACCTTCTGCGGAACAACAGCCCCACGATGGCAGCAGCTTCCAGTAATGTCAACCTCGCCAACGAACCGCAATCTCCCTTCGCCCGGCAATTCTCAGCCCGTCAACAACTCCCTCCTCCGAAAAACGACCACTACCACATCTACGAGAACCCAACGCAGATCAACCGCTCCGAGTCCCCTATCTACAGCAATACCAATTCTGCCAACATCTACCAGAGCTACAGCAACAATTCCTCGCATCAATCCCTCTTTTCGAATCTAACCAACACCTCCAGCAACGTGGCCGCTGTATCTTCCTCGATAAGCTATCTAGCCGCTCGGGCTCAACAGCCTCAGCCCCAGCAACCGCTCTACTCGAATGTGGAGAACAATGGCATGACCTACGGAGAAGCTCTGCTACACAACGCTCGCCACGGTTCCACCAACACCGTTCAACAACAGCACCAGCAACCGACTCCGGAGAGTAGCTCTTCGGCGACGGAGGAGGAACTCCCACTGCCACCGGGCTGGTCCGTCGACTATACGCTTCGAGGTCGGAAGTACTACATCGACCACAACACCAAGACTACCCATTGGTCTCACCCGCTGGAACGGGAAGGGCTGCCGACCGGTTGGGAGCGGCACGAGTCCGCCCAGCATGGGACTTTCTACTACAAGTCAGTACCTTCCACGTTCCGGTACCAAATGGATTTTTTAATCGATCTTTGGGGGGCTTTTTCAGTTGCATCACCGGACAGGCACAGGACAGCCATCCGTATTTGACGTCGTGCTATCTGCATCACGCTACGCCGGTCGAGATCCCGCGACCACTGATAGCCACCCATACGCACTACACGCCACACAGTGCCCTGGTGCCGGCGAACCCGTACCTCCTGGAGGCCGTTCCCGAGTGGTTGGAGTTTTACGCCAAGTGTAAGTGGGATTGAGTCAAGAGTTTCCGTGATTGGGGAATATATGTTATGACAATTTCAGCCTCTCCCGAGAACGATCACAAACTGAAGTGGGACATGTTCCAGTTGCAGCAGCTGGAAAGCATAGCCGGTATGCTGACCAAGCTGTTCCGACAGGAGTGTCACATGATTGTGGTGAAGTACGAAACGTTGAGGTGAGTTTTTATTTATATTTCGGAAATCTGTGTCATACTCGTCAATTAGATCCTAGGTAGGTGAAAGGTCTCAAAGATATTAGGCATGATTGGATAGGATCCCAATTCTCAGAACCTTGATAATTTACTGAATTTCCGGAATATTAAAGATTATTCTTGGCTCTTACCTAATCGTAAATTATTTTCCTAGTCTGAGAACCTCTCGTTTTCTCAGAATTTTGAAAACGATGATAAAACTTAAAGCCCAAAACGAAATCCTATTGTTCGCTATCTACTTTCTATGCACAATTTTCACACTGCCGTACTATGACGGAACTACCTACTTTCAGCTCCTCATCTATCGTATAAATATTACTTTTAGCGTTAGCATCTCCAACCATGCAAATCGTTAACTTCACGCACGAAGTAATAAAACATGATTAGTTAAAGTCAATAGAGGATGTTTGCTGGTAGAACAGGAGTTCCAGGGGGAACGACACTCATTCAGATGCATTTTATTTCAAAAAAAGACTTGGCAGCGCTCGAATAGATCGGAATATACAGAAGGATAAACAAATGATCAGGACTCAGGACAGTAGAGAGGGATGCATACAAAGTAGAAAGGGATGAAATTTTGATTCTTTTTTTCGTTGATATGGATGAGAATGCGGATTTGAGGATCAAATGGATGTGTCGATCCTCCTGCGCAGTTCTGCTTACAGAATTCAAAGGAAAAACGGTGCTTCAGGTTTGAAGGAACAAAGTGGAATGAACGTTTATTCTGTAAATACTTGCTAACGTTACAAAATCGCGGGTTGGGTTTTCACTCCGCCCCAATCCGCGATGCCTAAAAATTGTCGTAACTTAGCTTGCTTCAAAAGGGTCATTGGTTTCGTGAATCCACCCGCAGGTTGGTTTGCTGTTAAGATGTATTCAAGCTACACTGTTTGCTGGTCCAATGCTTCGTTTACAAAATGTTAGTGAATACCTACTAACATGCTTCGCTCTTGGATTTTATTTTATTTTATTTTATTTTTTTTTATTTATTTGTCGTCAATCAGTGTAGACCGTTTTACAATAGTGCTGTTGCCTTACATGCTATTTTAAAACATACGTTTTATTTGAAATTGTCAGCAAATGTAGACTGCATATACAAATATCTAAAAAAATAAAAATTGTTTTAAACTTAACGAGATGAAATCCTAGCAGTTAGTGTTCTCCTTACTGTATCTTTAGACATCGTTAGATCTATATGCTCACAATAATTATTATACACTCTCATCATTCTATTAATTGGTCCATTTTTACCATAATTCGTTCTGTGAGGTGACAGTTGAAATACATTTCGAGTTCTTAACATGCGTGATGGTACGTAAAAATTTAATCTTGCTAATATTTTTTCTGAATTTACGCGTTGTGAGATAATATCATTGACAAAGGAAATCATGGAAATTTCTCTTCGTTTCTTAAGTGTTTCAATGTTTATCAACATGCAACGGGACTCATAAGAAGGAAGGGGAAAAGAGGTCCAGCCTAGTTTCCTAAGAGCAAATAACAAAAACTGTTTTTGAACTGATTCCATACGATTTATATAAGTTTCATGGTATGGAGCCCAAACCACACTGCAGTATTCGAGAATTGATCTCACGTAAGCTATATAAAGTGTTTTGATGGTATATGGGTCTTTAAAATGATAACTAAATCTTTTTATGAATCCCAACATATTATTTGCTTTGTGAATTGTGGTATTCACATGATCTACAAATGTCAACTTCGAGTCAAGAACCATTGTTCGCGATGCTGATTGCCGACTGATTATCGCAGTAGATTGGCATTGCTTCAACTTCTGTTAGCTCGGAACGCAGATTCTTCCACCATATCGCCTCTTGAATGGCCCGCGAAAGTGCCATAAATTCCGCCTCGCGTGATGAAAGGGCTACGGTTGATTGCTTCTTCACATTCCAGGATATAGCAACCCCTTGCATGGTGAACAAGTAATCCGTTGTCGATCTTCTGTCATCAGGATCTCCTCCCCAATTGACATCGCTATACCCTTGAAGTCTTCCAGTTTCGTCCTTACTTAGTATACAGCAACATTTTCTGCGCTGTTCCCTTCAGGTATCGAATGATACGCTTGATTGCTTCCCAATGTTGTCTACCAGAGTTGGCAGAAAATTGGCTCAAAGCATTCACAGCGTACGCAATATCTGGTCGACTAGTTGGCGCTACATATGACAAACAGCCAACTGCTTTCTTGAAGGGTACTCTTGACATCTGTGCTGCCTCCTCAGCCGATCTACATGTGATCGTTGCAGTCCAAATTCTCGCAATATTGCATCCAGTTTCCTGTTACATACAGCGCTTTTTTGAGTCTGCACACCCTGCCGTTGACCTTGTCGAATCCTTCCGGCTGCATCATGTCCAATTCTTCATCGCCCAGCTCACCCTGCAGGAACGCAGTGACCACATCCATCTGGTCCAGATCGAAATCGATCTTCACTGCCAGTGCCATGAGGTAGCGAATTGTTGAATAGCGTACTACCGGAGAATATTCATCTTCATAGTCGATTCCTGGTTTCTGCGAGCAACCCTTCACCACAAGTCTCGCTCTTTGTATCGCTGTATCTTGCGTCCAACGATGTGATTTCTTCCTTCATCGCTTGTATCCACAGCTTTCGATTAGGTCGCCGCATGACCTCGTCGTAGGATTGTGGATCGTCCTCCATGGAAACATCGATCGTTGATGAATCGGATGGCTGGGTGAGAAAATCATCACTAGAAAAGGAACCGTAACTAACAAAATCATCATACTTGCCTGGGAATACGCGCTCCCGACCGCTGCGCCTCAACCCTTGTTGACTTGCTTCAACTGGTTCGTTGCAGGCATCTTCGAAATCGTCACATCCCGACTGGTTATTTTTGTATCCTATTATATTTCTCCACTCCGGGACTTTACGGAGCAAAATCAAAAACTTCTCTGCTTCATTTGATGTTTCAGACTGGAATGCCTTTCCTCTTTATTTTTCATACGATCAGACCTTGTCTACCTGATCCAACTGTCATACGTAACATCGTATGGTGTTTTCGTTTAACGACATTTATCGTTTGCACTCTAAATCATCCCTTGGTATCTTCACAATATCCAATGAAGACGCCTTTGGATCGAACTTTTTACGCTTCATTGTCGGAACATGGACCAGCAAGCTTGAGCCGAAAACTCATAAATGCTTCAAGCTTGGCTTTCTCCCTATCCATACTTCTTCAGGAGTCTTCCCTCCGATGGACATAGCAGGAGAGCAAGTATGCTGCCGCTTCTGCCCAAAATTCCTTCCTTAATCGTGCATCGTTTAGTAGCCTTCTTCACCAATATGCGGTTCATCCTTTCCGCCGTGTTCCCCTCCATTGTCGGTTAAAAGAATCTTGATTTTCTTACCCGTCTGTCGCTCAGCCTTTGCTTGAAACGATTTGAACGCCTTAAACGCTTGATTCTTTGTTTGCAGTAAATAGACAACAACTCGCTTGCTTGCTTCGTCCACAAACGTGATGAAAATTTTATATTTAATAACGATTGCCACCCAACGACGGAACCTCTACCGGCCCACACAGGTCGGAATGTACAAGCTCCAGAACCTTTGATGTTCTTGTTTCACTTCTCTGGAATGGTAGTCGAGCTTGTTCGCCTTTTGAACACGCAGTGCTTGCCATATGCCATATGCCAGCCGGTTGTTTGAAAAATCAACATCCTCGTACGATTGCTTGAGCTGCTACAAACTAGCCTCGTTCAAGTGGCCCAATCGTCGATGCCACAACTCGATGTCGTTGGTAAGAAATGACCGTTCCGATTCTTCCACACAGTACACAGTTTGCCTTCTTCGACTCCATGGATTATCAATTCACCATCATCATCTCTAGCACCTCGCTTTTGTCTGTCGAGGAAATAACTTTATGGCCTCGTTTGCACATCGTACTGACAGTGGGTTTGTTGCTAAGTCCGGGATCTTCAGAACATCATGAACATCAATGGAATCGTCCAGCTTCGGCAGAACGACGGTACTTCTCGCCACGGCCTTCATAGAACCATTGTTTGCCGTACCAACGTCGTGGTTGTGCCATGTATGTGGCACGACGCTCCCGAGTCAATATACCACGCCTTGCTCTTGACACCACCCATTGCAAAAATGCTGCAGAGCTCTTTCGGCTTTTACTTCATCTTTTCGAGACATCTAGCAGCGAAATGGCCAAGCTTACCACAATTGAAACACGTCTTCTCAGCCTTCTCTGACTACGTCTTCTTATATAGGACCTTAGCTTTGCCACACGAGTACAATACTCCATTGTCGCTGCATGTAATGGGACCTTTTTCTAGCTTGACGTCTTGCAAAATCTTGGCTTTGACCAAATCCGATGACAATTCCCATGATCATCGGCTTGTAATATTCTGGCAATCCCATCAGGAGCGACGCGACTAACCACAAATCATCCACCTTTAAACCAATCGTCGAAAGCTTGTGGCTGGTGACGTAGCCAGGTTTCGAGCTAGGGAGGGGCGAAAAAAAATTTAGTATGGAAAATTTGGCCGAATGCCATTTTACCGAAAGCCTTTGTGTTGCTGAGTTTATCCTTTATTACGAGTGAAAACGAAGTGAAGTGATCACTTCTAGATAGAGCTGGCATTAGGGCACAACAGCTTTTGTAAACAATGACTTATCTCGATGATTTCTCGAAAGTCATGCCTCTCCATGGCAAAAAGATATCACTATCGAGTAGAGGAAGATTTCTTATATAGGATGGATATGTTGGTTTGAGTTGACGTGCCGTGAATTCCTAGAAATCAACGAGAGAAGTCATTATTTACGAAGGCCCCCTAATTAACCACTTCATTCGAGCAGATAAAATGACGTTTACTACCACTTGAACTTTGAAATGAAACATTATTTTGAGATTTTTTCTTCTAGAACCTCGAAAAAAGTAGCCAACATTTGTGCGTTTCACAAAAAAATAGAAATAAGTTGGTCCAGTTT